TTTTTTTTTTTTTTTTCAAAAAAAGACTAAAGCTTTCCGAGTTTTATAGGCTTCTGAAGGTGTTTCTCGGTTTATTGCGACACAAGGCCCTCTGCCGCAAACTTCAGAGGACTTTTGGGAAATGATTATTCAATATCACTGCCCTGCAATAGTTATGCTCACACGATTAGTGGACGATGGTCACGTAAGCATTATTCGCTGCACTATATGAATTGAAAAAAACCTGTTCTTGTTTATAGTATAATTGTTCTTCAAACCCGATTTATGTTTTTCTATAATCATTCTAACTGCAGATAGTGAAATGTGGGGACTATTTCCATACGGCGAACGGGTCAAGAGAATTCAGTAACAACATACAAATCTCCACCATTTCGACACAAAAAATCGATACCTCACTAATCTTGAGATACTTAGAGGTCAAAAACAAAGGGGTGAGACTTTGAGAGCCAGTAATAAACGAGATCTTATCATTTCGAAAATGTTACCTTCAATTTTCAAGAATTTAATGCTTTTTGTATTGTGCCCCCTTAACTTTTTTGTAGTCAGACGAGCCCCCACGCTCGGTTTTGCACGTTCAGTATCTCGATTGGCCCGAATTTGGAGTGCCGAAGGACACTGCGCGAGTCCGTGAGATATTCAAACGAATATCAGCAGCTTTCTCGCCAAATCTTGGCCCGATTGTCGTTCACTGCAGGTGCGTGTATTCAGTTCCTAAACGCATTATTACACGAGATTATTTTGAAAAAAACATTTTTTTAGTTGTTTTTGGTCTTAGCAGTGCTGGTGTTGGTCGAACCGGAACATACTGTGTGATACACAGCACGATCGAACGAGTTCTTGTAGGGGATATGGCTGCTTTAGATCTTGAGAAAACCGTGGCGAAATTTAGGTCTCAACGAGTTCGAATGGTTCATACATTGGTAAGAAAAACTATGTCTGTATATACGTTGCTGTTTTCTGAATGGAATTTAAGGCTTCAAAACTAATCATAATGGGGTGATTAGTTTTTTCTAATAATCCTATTCATTTTTTCATGCTTTAAACATATTATAATGTTCACCATGATTTTTTCCTTACTATGTGTGATGGCTATGTTCTGCATACGTTTTTGTAGGAACAATATTTGTTCTGCTACAAGGCGATAGCCGATGAACTGCAGGACCTCGTATCCAAAAGCCATTCTCATGGTGGTTCGAGTTGATATGTTTCGATCTTCGGGTTTTCTCCCTCATCCTCATAAAGTTCGTGTTCGATAAAAGCAAGTCCTATACACTTAAAAGTTTTCAATAAAGTATGTCTTATAAGGAGACATTCATGGTTCAACAAAATATGAGTTTAGGTTTGTCGAAGGTCGAATGCACCATAAAATCTGTTAGCTCGAGCAATTGATTACGAATCGAGTACTGTATTACAAAACATGATAACATTTTTCTGTCGTTTTATGGAGATTTAAAGCTTTGATCGACAATTGAGGTAGCGTTTGGATTTATAATTCAAGCTTACAAAACATTATAATCTTTTCTCGTCGTTTTGTAGAGATTTAAAGCTCAGATCGACCATTAAGGTTGCATTGAATCTATGATTCAAGCTTACCAAACATTGTAAACTTCCTTTGTCTTTTTATGGAGTTATAAAGCTGCGTTCGACGATCAAAATAAATAAAATTAAATAAAATAAAATAAGAAAAACTATGACATTTATCGTAATAAGTATATATATTTTTGCTCAAAAATAGTTCGATTCCGTCTACCCGTTAGACTTCTTCACACAATCCTTTATATAATTAAAATAAAAAAAAAAAATATTGACATGATCATTCAACACTTAAATAGCCAATATAGTTTAAAATTTTAGGTGCTGATTAAGTACATTCAAGCAAATATGGACCACCCAAAAATTGCAATTTTCCTCACTCAAAAGTTTCATTTTCAATTTTTATGACCAACAACAAAAAACAATCCATAAAAGTCACCATGGTAAAAAAAAAAAGTGGTCATCACTTCAAGCAGTAAAAGCACCACACATTTGACTTCAAACTAATTACCCCTAGAATTTACCAGGCAAAGAGTTTTCACATTCTTGGGGGGGGTTTTTTTACCAGAAAAAAACAGAGAGAAGGTGACTTAGGTGAGGGTGGGTGGCTTTGTCTACTCTACTTCTCCTGAAAATCTTGATTTTTTAGCCCCATTTTGGGGTATAAGTATTCACTGTTGAAATTAAAGCGTCAGCAAAAATCGGCAAGAACCCACGAGTACAATCAATTCTGAGTGCTCAAAAAAAAAAAAA